ATGGCCAGGACTGAGCCCTGCTATATGCAGCCACGGATCCATTTGGACCTTGGGTCCACCTCTGCCCGATTAAAACTGTCACCACGCCCTGTCTCCTGAAACCCTTCTGCTGGCTTTTCTGACCCCACTCTCTCCTGGGTTTGCCCCAATCATACTGATTTCTTTGGTTTCTCTTCTACTTGACCTTTAGATATTGATGATTTTGGTCTTCTCAAGACATCTACAGGCTGTTGCCAGTGAATTGTAGCCAGTTGTCTCTTTGTGTTAACTTTCCATGAATTGCATCTTCATGCCATTGATACTTAACACTTAATCTTCATTCCCTTTTCCTCTGAGAATCTCAAGTCAGTACAGCCAAGATCTCTGTGTTGCTGTTTAATAAACACCTCAGACTCAGAGCAAACTGATTCTCCCACCTTCAAACCCAGTCCTTCAGACATCCTCATTCCAATAACAGGGCAATACTATCCACCAGGTGTTCAAGGCAAACTCCAATGACAAGCCTTTTTGTTTATTAGGACTTTGTATATATCTCAGGAAGATAAAACAAACCAAAACAAAACAAAATGATTTTTTTCCCCCAAAGAATTTGGATGTGATGTTAATGGTTTTTACTTCTAGAGGTGAAAGAAAAATTATTATCCCTATTATTTTTTCCACATATTTCCATGAAATGAGTATACATTTTCCTGTAACAGAGTAGATCCTCTTAAAATTTTGCCCTTTTCATGTTTTACCCATCTCTATACTTGTTAAATAGTCACATTTTCAAGGTGATAGAACAAACTGACATTCAACATTCAGAATATTTGTAGGGGTGGTGAGGGTGTAGTGCTTATATAATGTTATGGAATACAGATTGGTAGCAGGTATTTAGAATTAAAAGTGTAAACTTCAACAATCTGTGGCAGTGATTTGGGTGAGCCTGAATAATGAAAAGAATGGTAATGACAACAGTGTGTTGAGGGAGAGCATTTAGTTCATTGAAATTATAAAATAATGAAATGTATTTGAGAATACAACTTATCATGACTTTGCTTTACTTCTGAGCCAGTAATGGCTCACATGGGTAGACACAGGGGAATGGAGAAAGGAGATTGCTACCATCTCCCTATTATATCTCAGTGGGTTTGTTCTTTTAATTTCTTGGTAGCAAAGTTGTAATTTTTCAGTTTTCTTAAGCTCCAATTAAATACTTAATGGATTTTACAAAATACCTGATAAAAGGAAACAATATGGAGCAAATTAAAAATAAAATGAAGAATTGGAATCACTGAGTGGGAAAAAAGCAGCTGTGACTAGAGTGATATTAGGATATGTTGGACAGAATAATGATTAGGGGAATGCTGGCAGACTGCTCATCAACTCACCTAGAAGCTGGAAGGACACAGGAGGGGTACCTGTGTCCTACTTCCTTTAAATGTTACTTAATACAGTGTATCTGACTCTGCATCTCCCTAGGTAGCAGAGATTATTATGACCTGGTGACACAACCCTTATTGTATAATTGTACTGATTGTTAGGCCTGTACTCTGGTGGGGCATCAGAAACTCTCAGTGGTTAAGCCAAGAGGATGCTGTGCATTGGGGAGTTGATTTGCGGGTAAAATAAGTGACCCCCTTTTCTCATTGAGACTCAAGTATTTGTTCTCAAAGTCTGTTTCTTCAGTCTGTGAAAGAATGAAGGTAAAGGGCGTCTCCCTGGTTGTACAGGGGATAAATCTCAGTGCTGTCATGTTGTCATCACTGAGACCTGAGTCTGATCTCTGGCCAGGGAGCTGATACACATATGGGCCTCTTCTGTCTTGCCACTGCTACTCCCCTCAGCAGTGTATTTCTATAGATCTGCCTGCTCAGCTCCCCACTCTGTCTCTGGTGAATTCTCTCAACCCCGGCACTTCTGGCCTATATCCCAGTTCTCATATGCATAAATAAAATCTTAAAAAAAAAGGAATAAATTTAAGGGAATATTCATTAAATGTGATCTCTGGAGCAACTGCATCAGAATCAGTAAGGTAGCTGGCTCAAAATGCAGATTTCTGGTAGCTGGCTCAAAATGCTGAATCAGACCTTCTGGGGATAGGGTCTGGGAATCTGCATTTGGAAAAACTCTCCAAGTGTTATTCACAGAACAGTTTTAAAACCATGGACATGAAACATTACTTCCCAGTATCTCTTCCAATGTATTTGTATAAAATGAAGATGATATATCTGAAGATGATATAGCTGATGAATAGCTGAAGAAGTTTATTCATGTAATTCTGGACCAGTGAGAATGAATGAGTGCAGAGGTAAAACAGCATATTTAATCTCTCACATTTTATTTTTTAAACTAGGGTATTAGCACTTCCTTGATTGATCTGGGAAAGATTAAATATCTGTTTGCCAACCTCTGAAAGGTAAATGAAGGCTTTTAAAGGATGGTTATGAAAAGACATTATTTATCTTTATTTTCAGGAAGGAAGGCTTACTTATTTTATAAAAAATGTCCAACAGTGTTCATGATTTGCACTCTCAGCAACCTATCTAAGATCTGTCTTCACTGCTGTCCAAAATGAGTGTCTCAGGAAACATAAATGCTTGGTCAGAAATGCTTACAAGTTCCATGTTTTCTTTTGTGTACAGTTGAAGAAAGTTCTGTATTGTCATGGAAGATGTAAAAAACAGATAAAGCTATAGTTTACTTTAGTAGTTTTTATGTTCTCTTATAAGTTATATTTTGAAGCATTTTTACTACCTCCTAATTTGGTTTATTGGCTTAAGAATGTGCCTGGATTCTGTTTATGATTGAAAAGGTTTATAATATAGAGGTGAAGTTTAAATTTTGCTCGCACGAGAAGTTACCTGTTTATCATGTGGTTAATATGAAATGTAAACTAAGCAACTAAACTACCCAGGCTATTTTGTGACTAAATGAAAGAGCTAAAAAGCATTTTTGGTATGAGTATATAGGAAAATATTCAGAAAACTCAAAACTAAAATTGAAAATTGAATAGACTAATGATAATCAAAATGGACACTTAAAACTCAGGCAATTCAAAATCTCTTTCCATTGCTAGTTATACTCAGCTTCATTTATTTATTTACTTTTGCATGGAAGATCTGGCGTGTAGGCCAGATGTGCTGGGGGTGAGAGGATTCATCCAGCGACAGAGTGGGGTGCAGAACAGGCAGATTTACAGAAATATGCTGGTGAGGAGAACAGCTAGGCCACCAGGGAGGTCCAGTATGCCTAATATTAGTAATAGTTCTAGAAATGATATCATATGTTTCCAATAAAAGTTAAACTGGCATTCAATACTTTCTCATTCATTTTATTTAATTCAACTGAATTATTTCATTCAGTTGAGACTGCTAGTCCTTATGTGGGTCTATAGTTATGGAACTTGAAATTTGAACTGATTGAATCATGAGTACAGACGGTGCTGAAGCAAATGCCAGGACTAAGGTCTTGTGCTTATTTTTTTTTGTTTGTTTCTTTAAAATAGTTTTGTTTTTCTTTTTATAAAAGTTTTAGCATGCTCATAGTTACATAATCTGAAAATTAAAAAAAAAAATGTACAAAGGTTGCCTCCCAACTACCTGGAGGAAACCTGCGTTTCCAGTTTTGTATATGCTATTTTTCCCCCAGCATTAATGCATAAACATTACACATTTAAATCTGTGTTTATCTACTTGTCTGCTTGTATATATCATGCATGACATTTTTTCATCCAAGAATTATTTCATATACCTCTGTTGTACGTGCTCGTAGGTTATATAATTTTCATTACAGTCCATTTGTGATCATACTTTTACATCATGCTCTGTAATTTAAATGTACTAAATGATTCCTTTACTAGTGGATACTTTAATTCTATGTCTGTGTGTTTTCTTAGGTTAAATTCTAGAATTGCTAGGTTAAAAGGAATATTCATTCAAAAATTTGAGCTGTAACACCAGGTTGTCCTTGGAAAAATCGTGCCAATTTATAGTCTTACTAGTAGTGTCTTGAAGGCAAGACATGATTTTGGAGCATTATCAATAATCCTAGGTTTTGATCTCTTTAATATTTATAAATATAACATGTTGGGAATTGGGTTTGTGCCTTAGTTTACATTGACTGGACACAATACTCACAGACACAGATACCCTTGAGCTTCTTTGTGTCTTGGGGACATGCCTGTGCAGTCTTACCCTGACTGAGTGGTAATGTGCAGAGCCCTTAAGTCAGACTAAATAAGGAATGATTTGCCCTGCTTACTAGATAGGTAGTGGACATATTTCTGAAGGGGAACATCTTTTTTCTTTTTTTTTCTTTTTCCTTCTAAACATTATTTTAAAGGCCCAGTATAAATAAGCCTTTTTTACTCCCTTATTCTTTGCAGAAATAATAGTGTGTTTAGTCATGGGTCAAAGCTTAATGATCATTTTAGAGTTCATAATACTCTGAATTTCTAAAGGAGTTACTTGCTTACCACAGGGCTCTGAAGAAAACTGACCTACCCTTTCCCAGAAATACATATTATGGCTTCCTGACACTCTAGGAAAGAGGGATATAGGAGGAACAGAGAGATCTTTCGATTCTTTCTCAAAGAGTATGTACTCTTCTTACTCGCCTCTTCCCTTTTCCCTCTGCTTCCCCCTTCCTCTATTTCCCTCCCTCACTTCCACCTTTTTCCTCAGTGTTTCTCAGTTCTAAAGGAGTTACTTTAGATTTTCTGACTTTTGTTTTTCATTATAAATATCATTTTGTTCTTTTATACTTCACAGAATTTAACATTTGTGAAACATCTGACTCTATAGAACTTTGAGACCCTGGTGGATAAATTTATTCATATATGTGTAATCACTTTCAGCTGTTCCCTCTAAATATAAAGGAAATAATATTTTGATGTAAGCACAACAGCTAGTGGGTTTTTAAACTTTGTTTTTGTATGTGTGTGTGTGTGAAATCTTTAAAATTCTGATCAACATCTAGTTATTTTCTATTCCTAATGTTACTGTTCTTGTTTCATGCAGGCATTCTTACACAGAATGAACCAGTGTGCAGCCTCAAAAATTGATAAAAATGTAACAGAAGAAACAGTAAAGGTAAGGAGGTATAATTGGCTCTCCACCTAGACACAAATTCCCCTTAGATAAAATTTTATTTGTAGGATGTTACCATAGGACTCTATTTATCATCAATTCCAGTATAAGTTCTTATGTGAATCACTTTTGTTTATTAATTTTTTTTTAAGTGAAATTAGAATTTAGGGAAAGACATGTGGGTTAAAAACATGGCCTAGAAGACACAGAAACATTGTTTTGCCAAGGTCTGGGAATGCTTGAAAAGAAGAAGAAAAATAAATCCTATCCTGTGAACCTTGGTGTCTATGAGAATAGGGGAACTGAGCTGTGGCTAAGGGGCGGTTTTAGAGGTAGCTCAAGAAGGTGAAATATTTGTTTTGTCCACTGGTACAGAAAAGAAAGTCTGCATAATATCTAAAAGGAAATATGAGTATTTCCTTTTAAGCTACAGAAAAGGAAAATTGTGAAGAGTTTAAAAAAAATAAAGATGGGTATTAAGTGAAAATTAACTACTGTGGTTATTATTATTATTATCATTAAAGTTCTCTAAACCATCACCAGTATTTACATTTTTTAAAAGATTTATTTATTTATGCTTACAGAACTGAGGCACATGCGAGAGGTGTGGTATATGAGAGGATTCACCAGAGGCTGAGTGGGGAGCAGAACAGGCAGATCTACTGAAATCCACTGCTGAAGGGAGCAGCAGGCGGGTCAGGAGAGGTCTGCCACACTGTGTGGGTTAAGCCCTAGCAGAGAATTGAACTCATGCTGCAGTGGCTTCAGAGAGCTTCATAACATGGTGCTTTAACCCATTGCGCCACCAGGGAAAGCCCCATTAGTATTGACTTTTAATGCTGCTTTACTATTATACCTTACTGAAAACAAAAAAAATTTCCAGGGATTTTATAGGCTTTTCTGATTCTGTTTCCCTAAAAGGTAAATAATTTTTAAGTTCTCCAATCATGGAAATATTTTTATTCACATGCTTCTGGTCGCAAGCAAAATCATGTATATTAGGGAAGCTTGCTTGAAGACACTGTGACCTTATGTTAGGATCTCTAGACAGAGGAGGTTTAGGAGTGATGACTTGGGGGTGCTGTGCAATTGCCAGGTTCTCTCCAGTGTGTCACTGCCATCTAAGTCATCCACTTTGCTCTCAAACTCCTACACTGCAAAGCAACTCTGACTGTCCCAGCTCTCACTTTCAGATCTAGTTAGTAGCTTCTACAGGGGGAAAGGACTGTGCATTCCAAGGGCAGCCTTCATAGGAGCAAAGAACTTGAAGCATCTGCCATCAAATCTGCCCGTTCTGTTTCACCTGAACTCCATTTCTATTAATAGCTTTACACTACCGTACTTTGAAGTATGCCCATACTTTGGCTTTTCCTGAGAGCTAGGAGTCAGTTCCTGATTCCCAGAATTGTGTGGGAATGTCCAGACAGAATTGACACTCTGCCAGTTGGGTGGAAGGAAGGACTGGAAGGAGGATAGCTATCTACCCACAGAGTTTTTAACTTGCAGTGAGAACCCTACTCTCACATAGATGACTTCTTTTTTATTTTTAAACTTGCTTTAATAGTTCACTTGCTTACACATGTATTTATTTACAGATGCTGTTCTCAAATATTGAAGATATCCTCGCAGTACATAAAGAATTTTTAAAAGTCGTGGAGGAATGCTTACATCCAGAACCTAACGCTCAGCAGGAAGTGGGAACCTGCTTTCTTCACTTTGTAGGAACATTTCTGTTTATTTTTAAAAGCTCTTTCCCCCTGGACTTTAAGGTTTAGTTTTTGGCATAGTTGCATGTGTGATTTCAGCATCAGAAGTAAAATGCAGCACCAAAAGTTTGGGGTCCTTTAAGGCCAATGAAATCTTCTATTTGGAGCCAGAAATGGGAAGAGCGCCTCACATCATCCATTTTACTCAGCGAAGAAGAAACAGCCTTTTCTGTTTTCAAAAGACTTGGTTCTTCGCATCCTCTGTAGCTTTGAATTCTAATGAATATTCAGGCTGTTCATAATGAATGGATTTTTATGTTTTTCTCAAACATAGAACATTCCCCTTTTGAAGCAGAAAATCCTTAATCTTATAATGGCGTGATGAGCCTTTTATTAGTGAGAATGTTCCCTTGTTAAGCAATTTCTGTGACAGACCTAGAAGTGAACAAACCCAGAGCCTCGAGGTATACATATGCCTATGTCTGAAACTTTCTCAAGGATGGTTTCTCAGAAGGTTGTATTGAGCAGTGTAGAAAAATAGCAAGTTAGTGCCTAGTTGTTTTAAATCATGTATTATGCTAGTATGATTATTTTTATATCCTTTGTACACGATCATGGAAATTATTTAGGCAGTTTACAGAGTCAAAAGCCTTATGCAGAATGGACTCTTTTCCAAAACTAGAGGACATTCATACTAAAAAATAGAAAAATAGTGCGGCTATTTATGCCATTCTACTGATGCTAATCTACCAGAATACCAAATTAAAACCACTTATTCATCAAATGCAATTGTTATATTTAATGTATGGGAATTTTGTCACAAATCAATTTTTGTTAATTTCTGATTTTTCATGTAGTTTTTTTTATAAAGGTTTCTAGATTTCTAGACATAATGAACAGAGTTGGCATTATGTTATTTTTATAATCAAAAGGTATTTCATTATATTAAAAGGAGAGATTCCTTAATGTAGGGAGGACCATCAAGCTGTGCTTGTCTTGGGTATGGCTGGAAACCATGACGTATGTTTGTGTCCACTGATCCAGACTGTGCCTTTTCGAGAAAGATTTGGCATCTCCTGCCAGCTGTTGTAGTTGCTGTCTTAGTTGCAAGCTGCACATGGGAATTTCACACACTGACATACACTTCCTCAATAACACATAATAAATCTGTCAACCATGAATTTAGCTAAACTATTTCTGAAGTTTATTTTATTCTGGTTCATATCATCTCCTGAATTAAGTAATCCAGTACATTCTCTGCTGGCTATAAAAAAATAGCAGCCAGCGTTTAGAAGCATATCTTTGAAATTTCAAAGGACAAACTGTGGCTCTAATATTTGGTTAATTTTCTGTGTCTTCCTCTTTTATTCTCCTGCTTTGTTATTCATCATAATCAGTTAGAGAAAATCTTACAGGTAGAGAGAGCTTAGAGATCATGATGGTGAAATTCCTTTTTTTGACAAATTTTTTTCTATATCATCTGTGAAGTTTCTAGTTTTAGCTCTAGTGGTTAGAAAATCTTTTTTTTTTTTTTTTTTAAAGATTTATTTATTTATTCATACAGAACTGGGGTACAGGCCAGAACTGTGGGAGGCTTCACCAGAGGCAGAGTGGGGAGCAGAACAGGCAGATCGACGAAGTACACTGCTGAGGGAAGCAGTGGGCGGGCCAGGCGAGGTCTGGCTCGCCATGTGGTCTCCTCCGGGGCAGGCAGCAGGCGGGAATCCAACTCATGCGGAAGTGGCTTCAGATTCTCAGTGCTGCGCTTTAACCTGCTGCGCCACCAGGGAGGGCCAGAAAATCTTTTTTATTAATTCCAAATTTGCTTATAAGATCCCACCACTACCCTTAAAGTGTGCAGTTAGTGGTCCTCATTTTATGTTTTGGAGAGAAAAGGAAGTCCTTTACACTATATCTCGTAACTATTTGAAAATAGTTGCCATTTCCTTTCTTTTCTATAATAACAAATCTCTCTCTGAAATGCCATCTCATATGTAGGTCTTCAAAGTCTGTTATAACTCTTGAAACTTTTTGCTGCATATTATCTATTTTGTCCACATCCCTCTTCGATACACCTGTGTAGATGGTATATATAAACTTCAGGGCACTATTTCTCTAAACCTATATAATCTGGTATATTCCTTTTCTTTATGTAATACTTTCTCCCTCTCCCCATCTAGGAATTATGGATTCATCATTCTGTGCCTTGCTGAGATATCATTGCCTTTAGAAATCTGTCTGAACCTTCCCTACAAATTTAAGTGCTCTCTTTTCTGTGCTTTTTTTTTTTTGCCACTTCATACGTTTCTCTATTAATACATGCATCATACTGAACTATAATTGATATATTCATCCTCTTTTTTTAGGCTATAACTCATGAATCAAAAAAAATTTTAAAAAGTCATATATACATGCTGTATATTTCTTGAACCATAGTAAACACCTATGAACATAGCATAGGCTAATGTTTCAAAATGCTTGATAATGTAACTAACTTATTTTTACTTGAATTCACAGAAAGACAAGTTTCGTATCTATGATGAATATTGTAGTAACCATGAGAAGGCACAAAAATTGCTTCTTGAACTTAACAAAATAAGAACAATCCGGACTTTTCTTTTGGTATGTCAATATTTATGTGTTACCATAGGCTCTTATTTGTTGATAGGCTCAAGAAAAGCCAAGACATAGCCTCAATGTGGTGCAAAAACTGCTTTGGGATAACTCTTTTAACATACTCAGGCTAGGAAACTAGTCCTTTGGTAATGTAAGTGAGAATTGGGAGAAGCTTATATTTGTGGAAATGCTAAAATGCTCTCTTCTGGTTGATTATGAATTGTTTGTGAGACCCACGGCACCTAGTGAGAAAAGACATTTATGGCAGAGTTCATCATCATTCTCATACCCTGCGGATCCCTCAGGTTTCATTTACTTTTGCTAAGAGAGCTATAAGTGGGATAATAAAGGAGGAAATAAATGAGAAAAGATATTTACAGATTTCACTCTCTGTTCAGTAGTCATGAAAAGAGTAAGGATGTATATACTGTTTTTAGGATAGCACAGATAGATGCATACTTGGGCAGTTACTTGTACAATGTAATCATTGGTGAGGACCACACTAAAATGTAAAATTTAGTGCTATTAGCAAATTGTGGAGTTGAACATCCATGATTATGATACAGTTTTACAGCATTTCTGTTACCCCCATAAAATCCCTCATGTCTGTTTACAGCCTGCCTCCATCCATTCCCACCAGTAGCTCCAGACAAGTGCTGATTTTTTTTTCTTTCCTTTTAAAAAAGACTTTATTCATTTTTTACTTAGAAGAACTGGGGTACAGGCCAGAGGTGCAAGGGGTGAGATGATTCACCAGACTCTGAGTGGGGAACAGAACAGACAGATATACTGAAATACAATTCTGAGGGGAGGAGCAAGAGAGACTGGAGAGATCTGCTACACCATGTGGGTCACTTCCCTGGCCAGGGATTGAACTCGTGCTCTGTGGCTGCAGATAGCTTCATAGTGCTCAGACTTACACCACCAGGGAGGACGCTGAATATGTTCTATCTCTGCAAATTTGTCTTCTTTGGATTTCATATTAATAAAATCTATAATGTAATTTTTTAAAGACTTGACTTTTTTTTACTGAGTAAAATGTTTTTCAGAGTACATCGTTTTGTCACAGACATCTGTATTTCATTTGTCTTTTATTGATTGTTAGTTCCTTGTGTGGTCACACCAAATTTTCTTTATTTGCTAGTTAATGATGATCCTTGAAAACACTGTGTATGAGAGGTTGTTTCAGACAGAAATATTTGTTAATATAGAAAAGTGAAGAAATTTCCAGTTTGGTCAATTAGAACTAATGTTGTTAGAAATATTCACATGTAAGTCTTCATGTTAGACCATATTGTCTAGTAAGGTATGAAGGTTGCATTTTCTCTGTATCATTTCCAACATGCTACATTATTAATCATGGTGGTATATAGTTGTATTCCATGGTGATTTTTATTTGCATATCTAATTATTAGTGATATTGTTTGCTTTCATGTGCTTATTTATCCCCTGGTGGAATGCTTAATTAAATCTTTTTTCTGTATTTAAATTGGGATATTTATCTTATATTTATTTTCAAGTTGTATATCAAACATATAATTTGCAAGTATCCCAGTGTGATTTGATCATTTACAAATTATTATTTGAAAATAAAAAATTTTAAGTATTGTTGAAGTCCAATTTATTAAAATTTTTTCCATTATTACTATACTTTTGCTGTCATATTTAACAATATATATCCAGGCCTTATACTTACTTTGTTAAGTTTATCACTAAGTATTTTGTTCTTTTGATACTATGTGACTGCAACTCATAGGAAAAGGAGGTTGTAACATGATTTCACATGAAATTTTATGATAGTGAAATTTTCATACTTCTGTGTTTAAAGATGCAATTAATTATGTTTATTTCTACCCCAGAACTGTATGTTACTTGGAGGACGAAAGAATACAGATGTTCCCTTGGAAGGATATTTAGTTACACCAATACAAAGGATATGCAAGTACCCTCTTTTATTGAAGGTATTTTATCTCTTTACTTTATTGTAGCATTTTTCTTCTAGCTGCACCTTTTTTTTTGGTGGTCTTTAACATTGACATTATAAAGGACAGATCATGGATATTGGAGAAAATGCCTATTTGGGGGGGAAGCAGATCTTTTGAGAAAAGAAAAATTACCTTTTGTAGAAAATATACTTTTTTATTTTCATATAGTTTAAATACATTCATTTCAAGATAAATCTCATTAAGTAATAATGACTAGTTTATATAGCATTATTTACAGTATTTATCTTTAGTAAATTTCTGTTGACTTATAGTTTTCTTATTTCTCTTAACATCGGTTACTTCATGAAGTTATATAATTTCATAATTTTCCCACAAGGGAACTAGTGTGGGTTACATGGGACAGACAATAACTGATAGAACATAGAGGGACTGTATGAAGAAAACATTGCTTTTAGAAAGTGAAAAATTGCCCCATTAATTGTGTAGGTCCATTGTTGTGATCAAAATTTTTATTATGAAAAATGATGCACAAACTGCAAGAGGGTGTATTATAGGTTTGAATTGCAGTTCTTGATGCTATGACTTTTGGAAATATATGGCTAGGCAATTGATGTGGTGATCGAGCACATGAGCTCTGCAGTTCAAATCCTAAGTTTTTTTGCTATCGGAATGACTGAAGCACATAATCTAAAAACTTATAGTCTTGGGTTTTCATGTGTGCAACAGTGATGATGAAATTATAGCACATGCTTATAAGAATGTGCATGCATTGATGTGCATATGTGTGTCTACATATATTTGCAAAAATGTAAAAGATTACATAATGGTAATCAATTGAACCACTTTTACAAATCATTTAGCATAGTACCTATTTCATCAATGTTAGCCATTATTCTTTATATACAGTTATGCTCTTTTTATATTGATCTATTGAAACTACTTGGTTTTTATTTAAAACTGCTCATGTATGCCATAGATATATTCAATAATGTTCTTATTGATATAATTTCAAAGGCAAATGTTATGAATTTGAACAGAAAGTATATTTTTTACTGCATCTACTGTCAGTTGTGTAAATTGGATTTCTGTATAACATTTCATTGCAAGGGATATTTCCTTATTTAAAAATAAAGTTAAAGTTGCTTGAGTAAGCCATAAAAAGTCAAGGAGAGAAACTAATACAGGAATTTCCACTTCTGCAGAGGGCAGACATATTGGTGCAAACATGATTTCTATTTTTCTGAAATTCTCCTCAGCAATCTGACTTGGTAATTCAGATTCACACACACCCTCCTAACAGCTATAACTGGTCCTGAGGTTAGAATTTCAACGATTTGTTTGCTTGAAAAGTCAGATGGGATAGAGGTATTAAGAAAAATACATTATGCCACAGTGCTTAAAAATTATTTAAGCATACAGAACTGGGGTACAGGCCAGAGGTATAGGGGTGGTGAGAGGATTCACCAGAGACAGAGGGGGAGCAGAACAGGACAACTGATGAAGTACACTGCTGAGGGGAGTAGTGGGCAGGTCAGGAGAAGTCTGCCACATCATGTGGGTCATCTCCCTGGCCAGAAATTGAACTCACGCTTAAATTGCTTTTGCAGTGCTGTGTTTTAACCTGCTGCACCACCAGAGAGGGCCCCACAGTGTGGTTCTAAGTCACTCATTTCTGCTGGGGATGATCTTTGGTTTCTGAATTAACCTTTGTCAAGACAGGACCATGGCCTTATCCTTGCTTAGGAAGAAGAAGGTCTATTTACAGTGGCTTCAAACAGTGGAGAGATGATATCTTATCCTCTCTTTTAAAGATTATCTTCACAAAGAAAAAGGAAAACAATTTCCTTTTATATTAGATATGATAATATTGATAGTTATACTATCCTCTGGAGAAATCTACTGGTATCCTTCTCTGATTTTAGATGTTTTTATTTATTCAGAGAAAAGCGTGAAAGGACTAGGCTATCATGTTAAGGTGAAGAGAAGTTGATATTACTTGTGAAACTTGAAATTATTGAGTGGGTCAGTGAGCACTGAGTTAGTAGCAAATTAATAGCTAGCTGATAGAAGGATAATATAACTGTTGTTTCTGTTGCTTTTCACATTTGCTTTTCTAAATGCATGTATTACCTCCTTAGATACACAATTCTTTTCTGCCCAAAATCAGAGCCTACAAACTGATTTGACCACTTCACATACTTTACAAATATTTTTATTCTTTAGATTTTCTGGAGAAGCCCTCATCTGCTGTGACCCAGCATAATCTTCTCGTCCCCGTGTATTGAGAGTGATATGTCTTCTTTTCCGTTAGTTCTGCAGAACAGAGTGTGAACATGTTGAACACAAAATCCAAGAGTATGGTAGACTTTTCAACAATAATAGAACTCAAGAGGGGGATAGCCACTGCATATTTTCCCACTGCATGTTAAGAATTAAGACAATTCCTTTAAAGAATTGCCTGAGGATTTTGGTAATTGTGTTAGTTACATGATGTTGGCAACTGTAGTAAAGAAACAAATGACTAATTAAAAAGCAATGTGGTCACAACTGTCTAGACAGTGGGTGAAGATGTTTAATTTTATGCTTCTAAACAACAAGAACTTTTAATATATTTAAGAGATTAAAGATTACTGTTTCTGACATCCTGAATGGGAAAAAAAAAGCATAAATAAAAACCCTCCAAACAAACACAACCTTGACGGGGAGTGGAGGGGGGGGAGGAGTCGCCATTCATTCATCACACAATGAACCTGACCTCTTGGCGGAAAAGTGTATGTTCCTTCTCTAATGATGGAGCATTGTAGAACTTATTTTTGTTGGAATCTAAGGCATTACTTGAAAATTTTGCTCTATTTATATTTGTAGAGTTTCTCAAAAACTGTTCCAAAATAAGGCATTTAATTATTTTTGAAATGATGAGCATAATTTAAAAATTCTTCAGTTAATTGATATAGAAAGATGTATACTTCTATTGAAGCAAAATTCAAACTTACTGAAAAATAACTGTGTAAGAGATATCTGATAATTTGAAATGAAATTTATTTTTTAAAAACAAAATAATTTTGAGGGGAAAATTGAGGTGATGGCAACATGTCCCTGGGACAGTGCTCCATTCACTGATTTAAACTTTTGTTTTTGATCTTCATCTGGTGGAGTTTGATGTCACTTCTGAAAGTGGCTCTCACGATCTTTGCAGTTTTCATTTCCTGGTCAGTCTGAACCTGCTGTACCAGAAAGCTGATGATCAAAGGGTGATTTGTTTTTTTGTGTATAAACAGGAGTTGCTGAAGCGGACGCCAAGGAAACACAGTGACTACGCAGCAGTGATGGAAGCCCTCCAAGCCATGAAAGCCGTCTGTTCCAACATAAACGAGGCCAAGAGACAGATGGAGAAGTTGGAAGTTTTAGAGGAATGGCAGTCTCATATTGAAGGCTGGGAGGTACAGTTGCCTTACTCAACCATTGAGCCTAAAATAGTCATGTCTTATGCTCATGTGTAGAATTATTGACATCAGAGAGAATTGTAACTGGTTATTTTCTTATATAATGCTATAGGGTCATCTCATTTCTAAAAAGTACTGTCATGATTATTCTTAAGTGTCTCTATACAAATATCTTTATACAATTATTTGACTTAACCTCTACCTCACAAGTTTTTGATATAGTCAGTTGATATTGTGTGTGTTGTAAACTTTGGTATTAAAGTATTTGTGCATCATGATGAACATTTTTCCTGCCTTAATTTAGGTCAGTAGTTACATAGCCTGAATCCTGGAGAAAGTGAAGGGCAGAAAAGCTCAACATGTATCCTGTGATTTTATTTTCAGGTCCTCTCAATTAGGTGCTTGATGATGCATTTCATTTTAAACCCACTTACTTTGAATTTCAAACCCATTTAGCCCCCACATTTAAAATTTTTCATTTCTAAAATGAAGGAACTAGCTGTCATGTCATTTTT